GTTTGTTTGCTGATAGATAAAAGAATAAGAGAGAGAGAGAGAGAGAGAGAGAGAGAGAGAGAGAGAGAGAGAGAGAGAGAGAGAAGAAGAGAGAGAGAGAGAGAGAGAGAGAGAGAGAGGGTAGAGGTGGGAGCATTACCTTCTGACAGACAGACAGATAGAGCCAGAGACAGGCAGTGAGAGAGAGGGGGAGGGGCATACCAAAAGACAGGCAGACAGACAGATGGAGAAATGGGAGAGGAAGAAGAGAACAAAAGGATAAGATGTATATGTAAAGGAGAAATGTGAAAAATGGGAGGTAGAGACATGGAAAGAGAACACAAGCAGAAAGGAAATGAAGAAGAACACCGGAAGGAGAGAGAAAAAGAGGGAGAGGATAGGAAAGGGGCGGAGGGAAGAGAAGAAAAGAGGAGGGCAAGGGAGAAAAAGATAAAGGGGAGGGAAAGAAGAGGAGAGGGAAGACAAGTAAAGGAATAAAAGAGGACTGAGGGAGAGAGACAGATAAAGAGGGAGGGGATGGATAAGAGGGAAAGGGGAGAGAAATAAGAGAATAGAACCGAGGGAGAGATAGAAGCAGAGGAAGAAATTTGGAGAGAGGGGGTGAAGGAAGGGCAAAGGAAATAAAGAGAAGAAGGAGCGAGGAAGAGACAAAAAACAGAGGGAAGGAAATGGAGAGAGAGAGAGGGGAAGGGCGGGGAGGGCGGGGGGGGGAGAAAGGAGAGGAAATACAGAGAAAGAGAGGACCAAGGGAGAGGGAGAGGAGTTAAGACAGAAAAATAGACAAAGAGTGACGTAATGAGAGGGTAGTTCCCCCACCATATAATACAGTCTCTCGCAAGCAGGATGCGAGTGAATGAGAGCTCCTATGGCACAGGAACATAAGCGCAGGAAGCACACGCAGGAGGAGGGGAGGAGGAGGAGGAAGGAGGAGGAGGGCGGGTGAGGAGGGAGGAGGGAAGGGAGGAGGAGGGCGCGGGGTGAGGGGAGGCAGGAGGAGGGGAGGAGGAGGGCGGGTTTGAGGGAGGGAGAGGAGGAGGAGGAGGGCGGGTGAGGGAGGAGGGAGGGAGGGAAAGGAGGGGCGAGGAGGGGAGGGAGGGAAGGAGGGGAGAGAGGGAGGGAGGAGGGAGTGAGGGAGGAGGGGAGGGAGGGAGAGAATGGAGGGGGGGTGAGCGAGGGAGGGAAGGGACAAAGGGGCGGAGGAGGGCGGTGAGGAGCGCGCGGGAGGAAGGGAGGAGGGGATGGGCGGGTGATGAGGAGGGAGGGGCGAGGGAGGGAGGGAGGGAAGGAGGAGAGAGGGGAGGGAGGTGAGGAAGGAGGAGGAGGGAGGGGCGGGGGTTGAGGGAGGCGGGAGGGAAGGAGGAGGATGAGGGCGGGGTGAGGCGTGGGAAGGAGGAGGAGGGAGGCGGGGTGAGGGAGGATGGGAAGGAGAGGCGGGGTGAGTTGAGGGAAGGAAGGGGGAGGAGGGGAGGCGGGGGTGAGGGAGGTAAGGATGGAAGGAGGGGAGGAGGCGGTTAGGGGGGGGGAGGGAAGGGGAGGAGGAGGGCGGGTGGGAGGAGGAGGGAGGAGGGAGGAGGGGGAGAAGGAGGAGGGAAGGGGAGGAGGAGGGCGGGGTTTAGGGAGGGAGGGAGGGAAGGAGGGAGGAGGAGGGGAGGAGGGAAAGAGGGAGTGCGGGGTGAGGGAGGGGGAGGAGAAGGAGGGCGGGGTGAGGGAGGAAGGAGGGAGCGGAGGAAGAAGGAAGGAGAAAGGGGGAGGGAGGAAGGGAGTGAGGGAGGGAGGAGGTAGGAGGAGGGCGGGGTATGGAGGGAGGGAGGGGTTGGGGGGGAGGGGGCGGGGGTGAGGGAGGGAAGGAGGAGAGAGGAGGGCGGGGTGAGGGAGGGAGGAGGAAGGAGGGAAGGGGAGGGAGGAGGGCGGGGTGAGGGAGGGGAGGGAGGGAGGAGAGGAGAGGTGTCGAAGGCCAAATATGCAGTGGTGTTTAACCTTTCGTTGAGTCGTTTTTTTTGTCGTCTACAATTCATTCAGCTCTTTGGCAGAACGTCCGTGATGCTATGCGCGCGCGGCACACACACAATTCAGAGAGAAATAGACGTGTGCGCATATATATACTTACACGCGTTACACACTTCAGGCAGACAAATTGCCACGTTAGACGCAGATTTACTACAGACATTACATGCACATACACAGTTCAGGCAGCAACTTGTCAGCACATACACGCACTCACATGACAGACACGTACACGCACAGAATATTACAGACAATTGTACATGCAAATACAGTGTCAGCAGGCAAACTTGTCACCGGCTACTGGCGCACTCTTAGCAATCACTTACACGCAGCATACATCTCAGTATAGAATCTATAGGATAAGATATTTTATGTGATTCCAGCGACTATCAGAGCAGAACAACTTTAGTAACAATCGTTGCAGAGCGACCCTATGTGTGAAAAGGCACGTGCAATACAGTGCTCTCCATCGCTACACGCATAGCATTTTTACGAGCAGCTAATTCATGGCATACCAATCAAGTTCAGACTAGTGATTGTCTCGAAACACTATTCATAACTCGGCACAGACATAATTGACTGTGCAGGACACGTGCAAATTTGTCAGCACATACACACATATCTAGAGACACGGTACCGCACTGTAACTAAATTCAGGACCAGTTAACAAACAACTACACGAGCGACACAGAACATTCCATATCCGACTCATTTAAGACGGAAAAACTGTGCACAGCCATTACAATAATAAATTATAATTCACGTAATTTACTCACAAGTAGTTTTGATTGCACACTATATTATAATTACATTACGTTGCTGTATACATCTCTATATGTTATATCGACATCAGATACATTAGTTCAGACAAGTTCTATTAAAATCGGAAGCCTCGAAACCACTGACAGAGTTAATCTTTTGACATTATCACGCGTAACGTATTCACGACTTATTATCATTCGAGTACAGAGTTGTGCTAGACAATACAGACACAACATAATTCTCCAATACACTCGCAATATCTCTCAGAGATTAGGTCAGTTCAGATTGTAATTTGGTCACAGGATTAGCAAATGCGCTCTCTTCACACGTTAGGGAGAGGCACAAGGCTAGGCGAAAATAATTACGCTCCGCGAGTGGATGGTAGGGAAATTTCCCACACACTGGGTAACTTGATTGGTCTTTCTTCTCTACTTCCGACTAATCCTTAGGCTCAAAGTACGAGTTAAGATGCAGACACTCACGACATCAGACACCCCGCTTACACAACCCCCACTTAAAAACGGCCCAACAATCTTATTGCGCCAACGTAAAAATCGAGCTGACTGGTACGAACAATATACAACGGACTAAGATCAAGCATAGATAACTTATAAGTCATTTTCAATATAACTTTTTCCTCTTCTCTTTTATTATTGTTAAAAGAACGAAGGTATCAGATTCTCGGGTCTAGTACCTTCTTTTTTTTTTTATGGTATGAATGAGTAGGGTTCTATACACACTAATTACACGAACTTTGTGTAAGTCACTTCGTAAAGTTCTCCCGTTCAGTCCCCGCTTTTTCGGCCATAGTCTCTGTAGGTCATAAACTCTTGCTTTTGCCGTATTATACATCACAAAGTCACCCATAAGTGCCGTCTAATTAGGCAAGTTAGGTGTTATCAAACTTTATTTTTATCTCCGTTACACACTTATATACCTGTTAAATCACTTCGGATTAAGGTCAGTTATCTGTTTTAAGGCGTTCATATATTAACTTATGCAAGCGGCTTTTCATGTTTACTCGGTTTACGCATTTCCTGTTTTCTTCTACTTCTTCTCTCTCTTTATTGTTATATGTGTTTCGTAATTACTTTGTTAAAGGTCTCGCTTGTGTTCTCCAAACCATTTTTGTAATCATTCATCTCTCTCGATTCTTTAGTTATAATCATCACTTTCCCTTTACTAACTCAGGTTCTTTACCGTTGCGAACTCCGTCCCGTTCATATATGCAAGTTCCCTCTCATTTCAAGCGCCCAAATCTTGCCAATCCTTATAAAAACATGTCCGATCCTTAAATTCCACTTTTCTTAAAGTCAATTCCCCCCATAAAACCAACTTCAAGGTCAAGTCAAACCTAAAGGTCAGTCCCACGCCTCTCGTCAATCTAACCCGCTGCCTGCTGTTCTTTCGTTCAAACCTCTTCCTTTTTAAACGCCGCCCGCACACAAAACCGATGTACGCAAGTTCTTCAGAAAGAAGGAGAGGGAGAGAAAGAGAGAGAGAGAGAGAGAGAGAAGAGAGGAGAGAGAGAGAGAGAGAGGAGAGAGAGGAGAGAGAGAGAGAGAGAGAGAGAGATAGAGAGAGAGAGAGAAAGAAGAGAAGGGGAGGAGAGGAGAAGAGGAAGAGAGAGAGAGAGAGAGAGAGAGAGAGAAGAGAGGGAGAGAAGAGAGAGCGAAGCGAGAGAGAGAGAGAGAGAGAGAGAGAGAGAGAGAGAGAGAGAGAAGAGAGAGAGATGAGAGAGAGAGACGAGAGAGAGAGAGAGAGAGAGAGAGAGAGAGAGAGAGAAAGAGAGAGAACACGACGGGCCTGAAAATGTAAACAAACCCGGCCTCCCTTGCCTCATAAGTAGCAATTATTGTAATCAATTTAATCGTAAAACAACCCACCCCTTCCTCCTCTTCTCCTCCTCCTCCCCCTATCCCTCCTCCTCCTCCTCCTCCTCACCCCCGCCCCTCCTCCCTTACAGACACCTAACCATTCCCTTTTTTTTCTTACTTTTTATCCCTTTTTCCAGAACTCTAATACGTGACACGGATATAAAGAACCCCACCGGCCCTCCCCTTGTCCCGAAGGTAAGACGCCTCAGCGCTTGGTTGTGCTTGAGGAACGGTTTTGACAACGAGACTCATAGGCAAATAGGGAGGAGGCTGGAAGGCAAACTGGCAGTTGCGAGAGACGGGCTAATTGTGGGTGGGCTGTGTGAAATTGGGGGCGTATTGTGTGAAATTAGTTTGACTTGTGAGCGGAGTGGGAGGCGGTGAGACGGGCGGCTGGGGGGGGAAGGGAGGAGAGAGAGGGAAGGAGGTGGAGCGGATAGGAGGGATAGGGAAAGGGTGGGGGGGAGGAAGGAAGAGGAGGAGGGGAGGGAGGGGGAGGGAAGGAGGAGGTAGAGGATGGGGAGGGAGGAGGGGAAGGAAGGAGGTGGAGGGAGGGAAGAGGTGGAGGGAAGGAGGGAGGAAAGAAGGAGGTGGAGGAGGGGAATAGGGAGGGGGGGGGAAAGAAGGGGTGGAGGGAGGAATAGGGAGGGGGGAGGGAAGGAGGTGGGATGGAGGGATAGAGGGGGGGAAGAGGGAAGAGGTGGAGGGAGGGAGAGGGGCGGTCATGGTAGAGGGGGGATGAGAGGGGTGGAAGTGGAAGATGGAATAGGGTGGATGGAAGGAGAAGATGGGGGAGAGGTGGGAAGAGGGTGATAGGGGTGGATGGGGGAAGAGGTGAAGACGGGGATGGGATAGAAGGATAAGAAGGGAGGAGGATGAGTAAAGGTGGGTGGGGGACGATGGTGAGGAAGGTGGAGGAGGAGATGGAGTAGAATGGAAAAGTAACGCCAAAGAAAATAATAAAAAGAAGTGATGAACGATGAAGAACGGCAAAAGTCAAAACGAAATAAAACAAAAACAAAAGAAAGAAAGAATACGAAAACCGATTAAAATATAATAATAATAAAAAAAATAATAAAATAAAATAAAATAACTATAACGAAAAAGAGAGAGGCTGGGTGAGGGTGAGGGGAGGTGGAGAGGAGAAGGGGGGGTAGGGCGAAGGGGGGGGGGCGACCCAGGTACAGCAGTGTTGCCTGATGTTGAGCAAAAGTATTAAGTAAGGCGCGAAAATGGTGATTGGATTTTATAGAGATATATTTACGGTTATATTATACGGTTTTCAGGTGGCCAATTTCGCTGGTGGGGGCGGGGGAGGGGAGGGGAGGGTGGGGAGGGGAGGCGGGTGGGAGGGGAGGCAAAGCGTGAGGGGGGAGGGGCAGGGGGGCTTTATTCTATTTATAAGTATTAAGTGTTTCTTACATGTACTTTCATAAACTCTGTTGCTTATTCTTTTGTAAGTATCATTAGTACAGCTACAAGTGTCAATGGTTTTATTAGTAATGCAATTATTACTACTAATATCACTATTAAATTACTTTGATAGTTATTTTTGTTGCTGCATTGGTTCTTATTATCATTATCAGTTATTATTTGTGATTATTCATTATTTTTATCATAATATATCATTTATGTTAATGTTGTGGATTATTATCGTTCATTATTCATCCATTATCATTAATTATTCATTATATCATCGCTATTTAGATTCTTTTTTCGCGTAATTATCATCTTTGTGACTCAGTCTCTTTTATTAGGTGTATTGGCCCGCATAACGTCGTCTCTTATTTTTTATATTAATCCATTATGACTTTATGATTTTGTGACCAGGTATGTCGATTTTGTTGTTGAGCTTTTATGTAATCTGATTTATCATTCGCTCTGCCTTTTTTCCTATGAATTCTTTTCATAGTGTTTCTCAACTAATAACTATTGCTCTGATTAAGTACCTCGGATGTTATCATTATTTGTTATTATCATTGGAATTTTTAATTGATAATTTCATTTTAGTTATTATGATTTTTATTATCTGTTGAATATGTTGATTTTATTTGATTGTTATATCTAATTCTTATTGTGGAGTCCGATATTACTTTTTGCTTATTATTATTATCAGTGTGGATTATATTAGTATGTATTAATTCATTACTCTTGCTTGATCTTGTTCATTGATATTATGCTATTTTAAATTTATTAGTGTTCGTTTAGTTGCTGTTGCTTGTTATTGAGTATTACTATTATGGTTGAATGATCTAATTGTATTATTTTTTTTTCTTCTCCAATGCAAGTAATTTATTCATTCTTCTTGATTCTCAATGCCAACTATATTTTAACTTGATGGAATCGCCTGTTCATCTGGTCACTCTTGCTGATTGAGATCTAATCTTATAATTGTTTTTTGTCACACGTCGCTCGCTCATCACTCCTAGCGTTTTATATTCTATCTTACGTTAATATAGGATTTTAACTTCTATCTCAGTCGCTGACTTATATCTGAGTATATTATTGTCAGTGTTATTGTGTAGTTATTGTATTTTATCCCACAATTACGGTTTAGTTCAGGCCAGGCTGCCTTATACATTGTATTGATAATTCAATTATAAATTTAAGTGTTGCCTTTATTTAGCTTTTATCGAATATGGATAAATTACCACCTGCTCTCTCTCACAGTGTGAATTTGTGCTTTATACTGCAAGTGTATGTTGTTACTCTTGTTTCTCATACGTATCTACACAATAAACTGTGACTTGCAGTAATATACCTTGTCGTTAATTGGACCTTATCACGTTGTTGACATCGTGTTTGATCATTCTTAATGACTGAAAAATAGTTCTGTATTTTTACGCATTCTAACTATCTTTCGTCACTTTGTTGGTTATTTATCACATTAATTCTTTCAGTAAGTGGCTAACTTCAAGTAAGTTCTGAACATAAGTAATCTCATCTATACATATCCACTCTTGAGCCACTTTTCTTACCTGTCCTTGGCCTCCTTTCCTCTTCATTTTCATTATTCTTACCCAGCTCCTAGATCTAGAATTCGTGTCGACCTCCCCTCCATTACTGTGAATGTTACGGCCTCACTGCTAAACCTTCCACCTCGGCCGCTATCATTAAATCGCTACGAGTGAATCAACACCTCCTTTGGGTATGCATTATTACTAGAGCTCACTCTCAATGATTGAAATTCTAATACATGACATCAATTATCATTTCGTTTGCTCTATGTTGTACTATTTCTCTTAACAGTTATCCTTCGCTATTCCGTCTGCTCGAATATAGTACGTCTTCTAGAGAAGGCGTGTGTTATATAGTTGGGTTAGACAAAAGTACTGTATGATCTAACGTTGCTGCTGTTTGGTCAACAATATTATTCTCTCGAATCCGATTTTCTGTTGTTTTGGATCTTCCTGT